ATAAGTATTTGTCTATCACAATCTTTATATGATACAAAGATTTTCAGTCCTGTTAAAACTATTTTACTCCATCGTAACCGAATTAGAGGAGATAGAATAAAGTTCCTTATATTTAGCTCTACACACTAATAAAGTATTAAAAACATAGAAAGAAGTTATAGACTGATATTATTGATCTGGTGCCTTTTAATACTAGAAACAAAGTGTATTTAACTGGACACTCAACGTTTCGCTTTACAGCTTCTTCAGGAGCGTTTCACAAAAACACAAATCGTAAGTGACAGTATAAAACAAAAAAAGAGGCTTGGTACTGTCAGTTACGATTTGTGTTTTAGTGAAGCGCTCCCGAAGAAGCTGTAAAGCGAAACGTTGAGTGTCCAGTTCAATACAACTAAGAAATTGGATGTTATAAGGTCCTTTGTTCTTAATATTAAAATGTCTTTTATACATCAATATGCACTACAGAAATTTAACGATGTATTGCATTGTTTTAACGTCATCATGAACCAATATCAATGTATAGCTTTTAATATTATTGCTTTCACTGTTGATTTACTGATAACATAATACAACAAACTTTATCTCTGTGTCCTTTGTCATGGGATAGTTTCAATGACGTAGGTATATATATATATAAAATACTAGGAGAAACATTATACTAGTTGTAAACTTGTAAAAAAAAATTACGTCTAAAGATCTATTTATTACACATTAGCGAGTTCTTGTCTGGATATGTATAGAACACGAACACACACATAATATATATAAACTCGTATCACTAACGTACTCTAGCCACAGTTTTAAACTGTGTTGTCTATGCACTTTTAAGAATTGTTGAAAGTTATATGAGAAACGAAAGAAAAATAAATTACAAAATCGTCTTAAAACTAACGTTGTTGGGAGTCGCTCTCAATATTTTGTTTTCTAAACAGAAAAAGATGCAGACACACAAGTTCATATTTATTACTCACGAGATTAAAATGATCCCACATATCTTGAAGGAAGTTTAATAACGGATATATATTTCCTTCCTCAGCAACAAAAGTTTTTTTTTTGTTTTATGAATGCAAAACGGGTGGTATTGTTTACAAAAACAGAGGGAACAGAGAGCTAGGCCTACCTAAATACGGAAGCATTTCATTTCAATAATAAGTAGAGAATAAATGAATTAACATATCTTAGTTATCTTTCATTTGTAACTATGTGTTGTATTGCTTTTAAATGACTTATTTTTTTAGGGGGGAGCATGAAAATGTGGCTCGAGTCACGGGCGTCCGCAAAGGGGTATTTATCCCCCTGGATTATCTAACCAGAATTTAAAGGATTAAAGAAAGGAAAGAAAAAGATATTTGCTTTTCCCTAGATATAACTTTGATATCATTTTGTCATCTTACCCTCTCGTCTGTAATATATCCTGCGGACGCTCATGGTTCGAGTGTTTGTTTGTTTTTTCCCTTTCTTTTATAACACAGCCTATCTTTAGTAGTATTTGTACGGGTGGGTGTAACATGTAGCTGTTCCATGAAGTTTCCTACATTATCAAACTTCTGCGGATCTACAAAGATGATAAAACAACCTTAACAAATGTCTACACGATAAATACGTTCTTTCCTAATGAGCGTGAATCACGTGCTAGATACGAAATCAACATTTTATGTTACGTCACTATAAAACGTAAACAAATGGCATGTACACTTAAACCTCACCGTTTACTGGAAAACAGCAGCGTCGAGAATAAATGTGAAAGTGTTAAAAGTAAAACACAACCAAAACATGACACTGTTGAACACTTCGACAATTATGTACAGAGCGAAGTTAAATGTTTAGTATATTTTGTACAGTTTGTTGTACAAGTTCACACGGTATTAAACCGATTGTTTCACACGTTTAAAACGTATGATCTTGGATGGACAGAATGTTCGAGAATGAACAGTAATGACTTTCAACTATTAAATATCGTGTTAGCGTTAGCTTTGCACGAAATACCATCCTATTTTCACTTGTTATATAAAATAATTTTGCATTGCATGTTGTTTTCCAACTTACAATGATCGTTTACTTGCCTATATATTAGTATAAGTAATGTGGATATGTCTACGTGTACAGTTTCTTTTTTCTAGAATATTTGTTTTGTAATGATTTTTGGAGTTGAGCCCGTGGGTAAAATTGATCAAATTAAAAATGTTTTCTATGGACTTTTAGTAAAACTTAAGTGCCGTATTTCACATTGTACTAATCAGTACTAGTTTTATCTGCACTTTTGTTCATCACAAAATTACGAAGTATTAAACGACAATTAATGCCTTCAACAGGTGAAAAAAAATATATTTTTTTCTTTAAACGACAATCAAGATTTTACAACTTTCAAAACAGATTGCAGAAAAATATATGAATTTTAAAACAGGTTGCACTACATGTTTAAAAGGTTGAATTACGCACGTTTTATAAGATGTTACGATCGCCACGATGATCGAACCCAGAATTCTAAAATTATAACCCCTCAAGCTTGCCCCTGAGCCATTGGAGGAAAACAGCGTTTACAGTCAAATTATTAGCACTCGTAAGAAATGAAATTACTTTTACGAAAACACAGAATTTCACATTAAATTGTGAGCAAAGTCGATTCTCACAAGCAGAGATAAATTCACGAAAAGCAGCCGTCACCATGGCTTGCGGTGCTAATTGCAGAATGGGTTCTGTTACCTAATGTCATGTCGCTTAAGAGATTTGATTAAAAACGTGAGTTATATTTAGGTAAAAAACTAAGTAACCTCAAAAGCTATTTATACCAACAGTGCAATGATCTGTGTACATCAACAAGTTAGCTGTGCATTGTTGAAACAAACTGGATTGCTACCTATTTTTGGCACTAATACGACTGAAGGTACGTCTTACACTTTCAAGATTACGCACATGTTGTACACGTCATTTCTTTTATGCGTGCTACTATAAAAGATTAATTTTTATTTTTTCATGCAAGGTTATGGTTTCCTTTTTCACCGAGTAAATTAAGAGAAGACGGAAAATTGGACATCATAACCGTTATATCCGAATTATGAGAAAACACCATAATAAATGACGAGTTTGAAAATAGTATTACTATATCGTCTAGAGCAGCTGCATAGTATTACTATATCGTCTAGAGCAGCTGCATAATATTACTATATCGTCTAGAGCAGCTGCGACATCGCAATACAAAAAAATACATAATAAAAACCTCAAAACTGAGTATCTGTAGTTCTTTAAACTTTTTCTCTGTTAAATTCACATTTGTAAGCCATACATGGGAAACAAAAAAAATTATACAGATTTGTGTTAACACCGTTAGATGGAGCTTTTATAAACACGCTGTACGTCCACATGCACGTTTACTGTTTTTAGTAGTTTGAACACTTTTCCTGCATTAACAGTAATTGCTGATAAACAAATGTATTCTCTACTTCAATACTTTAATGATCATTAAATATTTGCAGTAGAAAACAGTTAACAAATATTTAATGTAATAAAGTATACAACTGAAGTTACGTAATCCAACAATCGTAGGTTATTATTTCACACTTATAACTAATCTAACAAAATGTAGTCTTTACCAATATAAACCCCAAAATAACCTGGACTTTTTAGAAAAATGATGGAAATAAGGAAGCAAATGCATTACAAATTAATATGTGCAATTTTAAATTTTAGTCCAATGAAAAATTAGATCAGAGTCATTCAAGTTTCCCGCTTATTTTTTCATTTAATTCAATTAAAAATTAAATACTTTTTCTCTTCCCAATATTTTTCATTTACTTAAACGTTTTATATAATCTAACACAGTAGGTATTTTTACACGATACAAACAAATCAATATGGCATTTTTACTTTGAAAATATACCTGCAGTTCAGTACATTCGCGAGACCTTTTTCAAGTAGCATTAGGCTTAAAGATTTTTTTATAACTATCTGAAATTAAGCTTTTTGAGGTTATATATTCAAGGCTTAAATTTTAAAAACCACCTAAGCATTTTAACGTCCTTTTATAGCGTTATGGAGAAATTGCAAGGACTTGTTAAACCGAAAGGTGAATTTAGCTGGATTAAGGTTTCACAATTAAAATATTTTCTGCGAATCTATTTTTAAGATTTCTCTGAAACTCAGTTTTGATTTTTCAATTATATTTTTTTTCACTTTTAGAAATTTAATCAAATAAATACCAGAATTTTTAAAGTGTCAAGTCTAAGAGGAAGCTTAAATATTCATGTCAAGAAAAATACATTTGAAATAATATTTAACAGAAAAATAACTTTAAAAACATTTGAACCCTAATGATGTCCGAAACGAAAGGTGCCAATCAGAAAGGGCTTGCATTCAGAAATCTTAGTCGTATTACTTTACAACTGATGCTGGACTTGTAGAATGAAAGTGTGTAAACAGTAAATAAGTTACATATTCGTATTATTTTCACAAGCCACTGCTTTAATTATTCCAGACGAAAGTTCTAAATTTCAGAAAGGGACAACGAATCACAATGCTCAAGGTAGCAGAATTGTTCACATACATCAAAATGTAAAGCAAGTTGGATAAATAATTTGTTTGTTTTTTTACAACGTTATGGTTGTGAGTAAAATACATATGTAAACAGCTAAGAAAAGTAAAATATTTTAAATTTCGAAATATATATTTGTATTCAACAAATTTATATCATACCATTAGGTCTTCGTTAGATGGCGCTACGTATACAGCATCAAAATTCTGCATTTAACGCCCTTAGCAATAAAAGTTCTACCACGAGAGGGCATCACATATAGCCCTGCATTTTTTTTGTAGCAATAAAAATCAAATTCTTAACTATTTCGCGATATCTAACATGCATTAGACAGTGCTTATATGTTTGGCATGAAATTAAATTTAAAACGTCAGTTTCACACGGGTATCTCTACTTCATCAAAAAAGATTTACTCTTGGAAGACTGTGCAAAAAACAACTCTAATAATACTGAAAATAAACGGCAGCGTTTGTTAATACGGTATGATAACTAGCTGTGAACTGTAGATGTCTGTATTCCTACACTGGACTACAATTACCAACATAGAAACCATCAAAACAACTAGTTCAACTGTAGACACTCCTATTAGTCTACTTCACAAATGTCGTACCATTTCGAAGAGATGGGCCAAGGCCCAACTATCTTGTTTCTGCGTTTCTTGTCTAACGGACTGAAAGACTTGTTTTCCCAGAACATCGTTCCTTTGAAGAAGAACATGGACCGGTGGGCATAGGAATAATACACGGCATCCAGGTTGTCTGGAAGCTTGGATTCGGGGGTTTCGGCGGGAAATTCCTTGGTGATATCTTTTGGGTATCCAGGCAAACAGCAGCCTTCATGTCCTCGGTTCACGTCGTAGGCGTAAACCTTTAAGAACAACATAAGAATGACAGCTTGAACATGTGATCCATCACTTACTCCTCCTTTCTGCTCAACAAAAATATAGTGTTTCCATTTAGAAGGAGACGGAAACTTAACCTAGATCTCTTCAACCTGGTACGTATATAAGTAATGTAGTTGTTATCATATTCAGTCTGTACTGTACGCTTAACGAAGGTTTTATATAATGAACGTAGTTGTTATCACATTCAGTCTGTACTGTAGGCTTAACAAAGATTATATATAAGTAATGTAG